TCTAATTATTGAGATTTCCTTGTAACGCAGCACTCATAAGGAATAAAATCCGAGCATGCGTTAGTATTCCCATATACTCTCGTATGTACTAAGCTGCAGCAACTTTCTATGTGTGGGTCTTCTGTATGTGGTCGCTATGCGTAATAATCGTTCATTATATACGTGCACTTCGTATTTTAGTAGCTGCGAGAATTGGCTGGTGCGGCTCAGCTCATTTGGTGTGAAAAAAATAGCACAGGTGTATTTTAGGCAAGCTTAAGCAACGTAATGTTGCAAATCCTACCATTTTAAAGTTAGAAAAGTCAAACTTGGTTATAATTGTTATTAGAAGAGCCGTATATAGTATGAAATGAGTTTTGGATATTCTCACTAATGTATATTCGTGTATTCCTTATATTATGGTCTCATCTTATTTACCGATAATTTCAAAATAGTATTTTAAATAGTATTTCCTGTTACAAAACATCACTTTTGTAATAGTCATAAAAATGTTATTCCTTTTATTGAAACGTTTTTATTTGACTAAAAGTTCATAATTGTTAGAGTTTTATCTAAATCACTTAATTATAAAAATCTCACTTTCGTAAAAGTTTATCTCATTAATTTTTTTTTGAAGTGTCACACACACCTATGGAAGATGTTGACCAGCTTCTCATAGTCACTTTGAAGTAGATTCTTCTTCATGTATAATTTGGGAACTCCATCCACTTCAGGTCTGCAGTATAGTTGGACGAAGTTATCAACAGTGACCTTGACACTGTCTAGGGCTATGAAGCCTTCAGTGTCTTCTACTTGGGGATCCTCCACTACACCAAATAGGGCGTTGACAGTTTCAGGAGTGAGGATGATGTCATCACCATGGACATGAGATTTGATAGTCTCCCCTTCATATGTGGCATTGAGATAGAACTCTGCCACATCCTTTGTGCTGTAGGAATCGAAATGATAACCTACCACCTTGCTGAGCTGTGATTCCTCCATACCTTTGATGATTTTCATCATCGTTTCTTGGTTTGCTGCTAGTTCAGGGAGTGCGGAAAGATCGCAGTTCATCCCAGTATAGATGTTAGCGACCAGGGTATTGATTTCTTCTTCAGTGAGGTCGTTGATGTTCAAGAAAGCCATTGTAGAGATTTGTGAGAGTTTGAGAGCTAGAGAGATATGGAAGTTCGAAGATTTGAGAGTAATGTGAGCAGTACCGGTTTAGGTTGAAAAGATTGGAATATAAGGGTTCGGGTTAGTGGATGTTTGAGATTATTGGCGGTTCCGAGGTATCAATAAATGAAAATAGGGGCGCAGTAAATGTTTTGCGGCTATAATACCGTTTAAGGGTAAAAGGGTAAAAGACCTTCATTAAGTTACTAGGTCACCCGGTTTTCTTAAATTTTTCTAAGTCCACAACCTTCTGTTAGAGATAGAGGGGGTTTCTGTTGTTAAAGTGTTTTGTTAAGATTAGAGGTTCTCTGTTCAGAGTAGAGAATCAGAAGGGGTTCTGCAACAGAGGTTCTGTTAACAGAGAATCTGTAACAGAAGATCTTCCAATCAACCTTCTCTTGGAATTTCATCCATCATTCCCAAATCTTCTCTCAGCTTGTTGAACCTAGCCTCAGGCAAAGGCTTGGATAAGATATCTGCCAGCTGGTCTTCTGTTGACACATGCTCCATGCATATGTTCTTCTTTTCAACATGATCTCTGATGAAATGATGTCTGATCTCAATCTGCTTTGTCCTGGAGTGAAGAACTGGATTCTGAGAGATGGCAATGGCACTGGTGTTGTCACAGAGAAGCTTGATCTCCTTTGCTTGAATGCCATAATCCTTCAGTTGTTGCTTCATCCAGAGTAGTTGAGCACAACAACTCCCAGCTGCAATATATTCAGTTTCTGCTGTACTGGTTGAGATAGAGTTCTGCTTCTTGCTAAACCAGGAGATAAGTCTCCCACCTAGAAGTTGGCAGTGACCAGAGGTGCTTTTCCTGTCTAATATGCAACCTGCAAAATCTTAGTCTGAGTAACCAATTAGTTCAAAGTTACCTCCCTTGGGATACCATAGGCCTGCATTTGGATATCCTTTGATGTATCTGATGATTCTTTTTGCAGCACTTAGATGGCTCTCCTTGGGCTGTGATTGATATCTGGCACAGATTCCAACAGAGAATGAGATGTATGGTCTGCTTGCAGTGATATAGAGAAGAGATCCAATGATTCCTCTGTAGGCTGTTGCATCAACATCTTTGCCTTCATCATCTGGGCCAATTCCTTGAGAAGTGTTCATGAGAATCTTCACTGAGGATTTGCCTTCTACTCCAAATTTCTTGATTAGGTCTCTGGTGTACTTCCCTTGATTGATAAAGATTCCTTCTGGAACTTGTTTGACTTGCAGTCCTAGGAAGTAGCTCAGTTCTCCCATCATACTCATTTCAAATTGACTCTGCATCACTTGAGAAAATTTCTTACATAATTCTGCATTAGTACTTCCAAATATAATATCATCAACATATATTTGCATTAGCAGAATATGATTAGCAACAGAGATTTGAAATAATGTTTTGTCAACCTTTCCCTTGGTACACCCATGGTTTATTAGGAATAGGGACAGTGTGTCATACCATGCTCTGGGAGCTTGCTTAAGACCATAAAGGGCCTTTCTAGGCTTGTAGACACAGGAGGATTGAGTAGGAATGACAAAACCTGGTGGTTGTTCCACATAAACTTCTTCTTCAAGATCTCCATTCAGAAATGCACTCTTGACATCCATCTGGTAGACCTTGATGTTTTTGTAGGCGGCATAAGCTAGGAAGATTCTGATGGCTTCAAGTCTGGCAATTGGTGCAAAGGTCTCATCAAAATCTATTCCTTCTTCTTGGCAGTATCCCTTAGCTACCAGCCTTGCTGTATTCCTTACAATGTTGCCATCTTCATCAGCTTTGTTCTTGAATACCCATTTGGTTCCAATCACGTTCTAGTGCTTTGGTCTAGGAACAAGTTCTCATACTTTGTTCCTTTCGAATTGAGTGAGCTCTTCTTTCATTGCATTGATCCAATCTGAGTCTGCAAGAGCTTTTTCTACAGTCATAGGTTCCATCTGAGATATGTAGCAGGCAAGCATTGCTTCTCTTCTTGTGGTAGCAGATCTAGTCTGCACACCACTTCTGATTTGTCCAATCACTTGGTTAGGAGGATGATCCCTTAACCATGTCAGATAAAGTTCTATCAGTTGTTGTCTGGGTCTCTCTGGTTCTTCTTCTTCTGAATCTTCATCATCATCCAACAGAAGGGGGTTTGGTGCAGGTGTAGGAAACGCATGATTAACTGCTACCTCTTCTGTTGGTTCAGGTGTTCTGTCTTCTATGTTGACTTCTTTGAGGGTCTCTGTTACTTCTTCAACGAAGATGCTATCATCAAACTTTACATGTATAGATTCTTCAACATGTAGAGTTCTTCTGTTGAGTACTCTATAGGCTTTGCTGGTGCTTGAATAGCCTATGAATACACCTTCATCAGCTTTCTCTTGAAAGACTTTCAGATGCTCCTTTCCATTGTTGAGAATATAGCATTTGCATCCAAATACATGAAAGTAACTGATGTTAGGTTTTCTTCCTTTCCAAAGTTCATAAGGAGTCTTCTGGTGATTCTTGTTGATCATACTTCTGTTCTGGGTGTAGCATGCAGTGTTGATTGCTTCAGCCCAGTATCTCATAGGTAATCCAGATTCTGCAATCATTGTCCTTGCAGCTTCTTTCAACGTTCTGTTCCTCCTTTCTGCTACGCCATTCTGTTGAGGTGTTCTGGCGGTAGAGAGTTGATGAAAGGTTCCATTTTGATCACAGAAGTCCTTTATGACTTGGTTGACAAATTCAGTTCCTCTGTCAGACCTGATTGTCCTGACTTTCAAATTCTTCTCAATCTGAAGTTGCTTTAACAGAGATGGCAACTTCTTAAGAGTTTCATTTTTCTTTGACAAGAAGATATTACATGTATATCTGGAGTAGTCATCAACCATGACTAGGGTGTACTTCTTGCCACCAATACTTGGAGTCTCAACAGGACCAAATAAATCTATGTGGATCAGATTTAAAGGACTTGTAGAAAGATCTCCACCAACTTCTGAGAGTAATGTGAGCAGTACCGGTTTAGGTTGAAAAGATTGGAAGTCACATGTGAGGTGCTAGCAACAATTCACCTCCCAAAGCTCATACCGGAAAAGGACTATCTCAAAAGGCAAATCAAATTCCAAGCCTTTGAAGAGAAACATACCATTTCTCTTAGTCAGATTGAGCGCTACTTAGGCTTCGACGATATGGAGAGAGAACAACGGGAGGAGATTGGCCTTTGTGACCTTCCCCCTTGTTGGTCCCGGTTGTACTGGATACAGTCTAGAGGGGGGTGAATAGACTTTATTGGTTTTTAACTTTTTCAAGCTAAGTACCAGATTTAACAGAATAGCCTTTTCTGTTGGCAGAACAGACTGGCAGCGGATGGGGTTCTGGCAGGGATTCTGTCAGATTAGCCTCAGAGAAGCAAAGGCAGTAGGCCTTCTGTTAACTCACAAGACATGTTCTGCTGAACACAGAGACCAAGTCTTTGGAGTTAATCAGTTCAAAATAAATGCAATAAGTAACCGCAGTAAGTAAATGACACCAGGGATTTTTATAGTGGTTCAAGGAACAACTCGTTCCTCTAATCCATTGTTCCACTAAGCTTGTAAAAACGTCCGTTTACAAGCCTTAGTCCTATCACTTAAGAAGCTCTCCACGTCTTCTTCAAGTTTAGATGTCTCCTGGGATGCACTCTCTGGCTTCCTTTAAGACTGGTCCTTTCACTGAGCTTCCCGGAAGTATCACCACTTCACTGCTCCAGGTACTTGGACGTCCTTCTTGTGAAAGAAGAGTTTCTGTTGAAACAGGGGTTCCTCTAACTTGCTTCGTTACAAAACATTTGTAGATGAAGTGTTTGAAGTGTTGAGGAACGAATGGAACTTTGCTTGAGTTGGAAGTAAGAATCTTTCCAACGTCTGCCTTCTCTTGTAGAAGATGATGAAGTTTTAATCTCAAGGAGGCTTTTGCATTTTTGAGTGTTTTAATATTTTTGTATTCGCACTGTTGTAGCAAAGTTATCCGGTTGTTCTTCGTAGTGTATCTTTTATACTGGGGTTGTCTTCCCGTTGGAGGAGAAGGAGGACAACTGCATTAAATGCGCGAATAGTGATCGGGAGGGCCGAGGTCGGGGCCAAAGTTTCTGCGACTGACCTGTTGTGCCTCTACTGCATGGTTCACAACAAGAAGCCCTGCATGGGCTCCATCATTGCTAGCCTGCTCCATCGTCAGTCCACAAACCACATTCAGTCCCTTTTTTCTGGTCCGTACATTACACGTATTTTGTGCGGGATGGGATATGGAGACCAGTTCAGAGATATGGAGGTTTCTTCTAGTTTTTTTCCCGCTCACTACACTCCCGTCCATGAATACGGGACTTGGGGCTAGACTTCAGCAAGAGGCTGACCAAGCAGCAGCAGGAGGAGGAGGGCAGCATGATGAAGATGATGATGATGATGATGATGATGAGAACGATGAGGAGATGGAGGAAGCAGCACACGACGTCCCAATTGATGCACCCCCTTATGGCTGCGCATTTCGAGATACTTGGGCAGGGGTGCACGCGCATCAGGACGCTGTTTATCGTCAGCTTTCCAGAGAGCAGCATGCGCGGTTTGATCAACTGAGATTCGAGCAACATGACTTTTACAGAGAGATGAGGGAGGATCAGACGATGCACTACGCACAGCTACAGTCTCAGTACACGCAGATTAATGAGCACCTCCATTCATTGGTGTATAGCTGGCGTTCATTCTTTGATGGACACCCGCCGCCTCCCCCTCCTGAGCAGTAGAGTTTATTTTTTTTAGATTCTGTTGGATGACTGAACACTCTCACAGTTTTACACTTTACTCTCTATTATGCCGTGCTTTGTTGTTAGATGATGTGTTGCAGCTCAAACGAATGCTTGATGGATGACGTGCCGAGAATTCAAAAACTCAGTTTAGTTCCGGACCGACCCACGCTATAGGGAAGTTTCAATAACTCATTTACTCGCTGTGTAATAATTGACTTGAGTTAAGTTGAGCCCGCGTGACCCTATCCTCTTTACCCCCTTGTGCATAGTGCATAATTGGCCATCGATGGTGATGCCAAAGTTTAAGTGTGGGGGAGTGAATTGGGCATTCGGTCAGTAGTTGCTACATGAGATTATTAGAGTTAGCATGCGCATGGGTTAGTTGTTTATTCATAGGAAATTCATGTCAAAGTTTTGAAATTTTTTCTTTAAACTGTTTCTTTGTGAGCTGGCTAGCGTTTTGACTATACTTTTAGAACATCTTTGAAGTGGTTAGGCTTAAATTGTTTGCACTATAATCTAGTTGTTGAGAGGATGAAGGCACTAGTCACCCATTGAATTAATTCATAAATCTTCCATCCCACCTGAAAAAGTCCTGTAGAAGAAGCCATTTTGAGCCTGATCGTTTATTATTTACCCAATTAATTAAGCTCCATAGCCAAATGGCCTGTGTTCCTTATTCGTGAATATTTCTAACTTAGCCTTGGCATTTAGGGAACTAGGTGATTAATTTGTTAAGTTTAGGGAATTTGTGTAGGAGCCATTTTTTGGCACTGCTCCTATGCCCCAAATGGGGTAAGAGCAGTTACGTTTTAGGAATCTGATACTTTCGAGGATTGCATTGTAGGCATGGATTCAATTCTAAATTAATTGAACTTTAATTGCTATTTTTTTCCTTGGTGAGGCCGAGAATAGAATGGGGTAATGTCTAGTGAGAATCCGAAAGGTGAAAAATTAATATAGCTAGACCTCTTACCTTGCGAAAAAAAGAATGGGAGCCCCGGTCAAAAAGCGTAAGTGTTTTGCACAATAAGATGAGACTTGGGTATCTTTCGAAAGAAATGGTGTTCTCGTGCCAACATGACAAGGAAAACAACACTTAATTAATGAACTTGGAGGCTATTTCAAAAATTAGCTTTACTCTTCCGCGTACTTCAAGTATACGTCAAAGCACCAATGTGTCGCGACGGTTTTAGCTTAGTTGTACACCATGCCTGCTCTTTGCATAGGTTTAGATGATTGTTCCTAAAATTGTGTCCTTCTGAGTTCCTTGATCCTAAGAATAGCCCTGAAGTTCCTGAATGCATCAAGTCTTTGTTAGAGTATTCCAATCTATCAAAAGAAAGGGACTGTCTTTTACCATTCACCATCACTTTCACAAGTCCTTCTGATCAATAATTAGTTTATTTGTGTTATGATGTCATTACTTTGAGGATGTTGTGAGTACTTCGTCAAATAGTTTAGCTTGAGTACAAAGATGTAGTTTAGGGAAGAATTTTCTTGATTTTTATTGTCTGTTCTGTGAATATCCTTTTAACTACGTGTGCATGCCAACTGTTTTAAATTCCATGTGGTGATTATCGTAAGTCCCGTATTTCGATTTGCTTGAGGATAAGCAAAAGATTATGTGTGGGGGAGTCTGATAAGTCCGTATTTAGACACGCGTTTGATGCGTGTTCGGGTTGGATTTTGATGGTTTTCCTAGCTTTAAGGTGTTGCAAGTCTCAATTTTAGCTCAAGTTGCGATTATCAGGCGTTGGGTCGAGTTTCTTTGCATTTGGGGTTGAATTGAAGAAGTTAGAGTTTGGCAATCAGCGCTTGAGAGGCATTCAGGAAGGATTTGAAGGCATTCGAAGAAGATTTGAGAGATTTGGAGGTCATCGGGAGATTCACGACGAAATTCTGATGAAGAACGAGTAATTGGATTGACCTCGTACATCCGGGAGCGTTTGGAACAAGAAAGCGAAGAAAAAGTGAAGAATAAGGTCACGCACGGTCGTGCCTGGCGTTAGGCACGCCGTGCGTGCCTAGGAATGAAGCGGATGAGCTACTGGAACCCAGGCACGGTCGTGCCTGGCAGGCAGGCACGCCGTGCCTGAAGAGAAACGAGGAACAAGTTACTAGAAGCAAGGCACGGTCGTGCCTGGCAGTTAGGCACGCCGTCCCTGGACACATTTAAACGGGATGCTTCCGCAGGCACGGTCGCAGGCAAGGTCGTGCCTGGCATCGTGCCTGACTCCGTTTTGTCCTAATTCAGCCCAAATTGCCTTGTTTCCTATAAATAACATCCCCATAACCCTAATAAGGGGGAATGGAACTTTGAGAGCAAGCTTAAGGACGAATTTGAGAGCTTTTTAGCCCTGGTTTTTTCTATTCTTTAAGATTCTTTGTAAGTTCCTACTTTTTAATTAATGGCAATTATTTCTATGATTCCCAATTCTATTGATTCTTCAATTAGGAGTCGAGAGTAGTTTTAATTAGGGATTTGGGGTTGATGAAGGGGTTTATCATGATGTATGGCTAGTTTCTTGATGGTTTAATTGCATGAATGTCGGTTAATTTGTGTTTGAATAATTTAACTGATATCTTTTGTAACCTAGAATGGCCACTAGAATTACAATTGCATATAGAATAAATTAAGAGAGATCTAATTGGTTCTAAGACACACTCACGCACACTTAATCGTTCGATAAGAGATTAGTAGCGATTAAGGGGCCGTAAGCTCACTCGTCTTGGCAATAATTTAGGATCCTGTCGCATGAGAGATAAGCCTGGTCCCCTAAATTATTGTACTCTACGCCGCGAGAGCGGTAAGAACTTAGTATTGATTAGCTAGGCTCAATTAAATTAATTTCATGTAATTAAGCCTGATCTTCCAGAAATCTGATTACCCCGGAATCAATCCCTGTTCCCTTCATCGTTAAATAAGAAGAACCCAAATCTTTACTTTTATTCGTTTATTTTCAATTTTAATTTTCTCAATCAACCAAATCTCGCACGACCGCATTTATTTTATTTATTTTTAATCGTTGAGTTTAATTAATTCTTGATTCCCTTTGGTCCGTCCCTGTGGAGACGATACTCGTACTTTCACCACTATTCTACAATTTTTTTAAGTGCGAGAAAACTCACATCACTCATCTCCTTCCCTTAGCATCCATCACCTTCTTCATTTTGCTCTTCTTCTCGGACCGATTGTTGATTCCGTCCGATTTGTGTGACGAGGGGAGAATAACCATTGATAGGGATATCTGACAGAAGCTAGGGTTTTGTGGCTATGTGGCATACGTTGGCGGTGGTAGCGACGCAACGACGTTGTTGGATCTATTAATGGCTTGCGGTTAGGGTTCACATATCTAGCCGCTGCATGTGGCGGCAGATCTGGACGGTGCAAGTGGAGGCGGATCTGGTCGATGAAAGTGGTCGCAGCTCTGTCAATGGAGCCTAGGGGTGGGCTGCCCAGAATAACTAATTTCTCCTCCATTCCTTAAACAGTTCGGACCATTTAATTTAATACGAGCCCATATTAATAAACACTCCAGCCCGTCGATATTAATACGGAGTAATACGGAGTATAAGAATTGCGTACGCACATGGAGGCAGGAGGTCATCTTCTCCAGCAGCTTCAGCGACGCGGACGATCATGGTTGATCCCAGGCGGCTTCTCTTTCCTTCCGGCGTCTACGCAGTCCGGTGGTTCTGACCCAGCGAAACTTTCTCCGGCGATGCTGCAGTGGCCCTTCCACATGACATGGTTTCCACAGCGCTCAACCATTCTCTTTTCCGGCGTGAAAACCAGCCCAGCCACCACCGGCTTTCTTCTCCGGCGAGTCCTCCCATTTATCCGGCGTTCAGTGGCGTTCAGCGGCAGCTTCCCAGGCTCCCTTAGACCTTCGTTCCTATGGTGGTTCAGTGCAACTTCGACCCGCAGTTCCTTAGTAACTCCGGCGGCGAGGTTATTAAGGCACCACGGCGATGTTGGGTACCAGTTCTTTCAGCAGAGATTCCCTTACTGTCACTCTCCTTCACTCACGACTCAGATAGCAAATTGGAGAGAAAAGTGTGGGTGTGTAAAGTTGTTCTCTGGTTATGGTTTCGCAGGGGAATGTATGCGTATATATGTAATATGTATTTGTGTTTATATGAATACGAAGGTCATGGTTTTCTCTTGGTGTACAACAAGTACGCGTAGCTCCTGCTTCATCATTTGGCATTTTTCTAATTAGTGATCACCTATCCATGTGTGATTGTTGGTTGTTCGTATGGGTCGAACGTAGGGTGTGAGTATGTATAGTTTGCACTCTGCTGGGTTCATTGTATCACACTACATGTTATCTATATTATTGTAAGTACATATGTATATCATTACTCCCTCCGTTCCTAAAAATTCTTCCCGGTTTGACTTGACACGCTTATTAAGAAAGTGGAATAAAGTGTAAATGTATGGTTGTGGTTGTGTAAGAAAAAGGTAAAATGAATGTGAGCCACACAAATTGTCCAAAATGGGAAAGTGGGAAGTATTTTTGGGAACAACCCAAAAAGGAAAGTGGGAAGTATTTTTGGGAACGGAGGGAGTATTATATTATTATGTGTATGTGTTACTTCTTACGATTTGTATGATGCCTATTATTTCTTTTAGGTGACAACTCCGGTACCCATTTAAAAAATAAGGTATCGTACTATCACTCACTTGATTGATTCAAATCATTACATCATTTTTAATTTAGATTTAAATAATTCAACTACATCATTCTGATTGATCCATGTGGACAAATGTATGATACCTTAAGGGTACCGTAGAATCTACCTTTCTTTTAACTTTGTTATTCTTTATTTAGTGTATTTTCGTAAACATGTTATTGCCTGATTCAAATTGTTAAAATATCACTTTTATTATTTTTGTCATATGTATATTTATTGGTTGTTACAAAAACGTCATTTTTGTCATTTAAGTCAAAGTCTTATCCAGTCAACATAATTATTATAAAAATGTCACTTTTATTATTGAAACATTTTTACCTACCTAAAAATGTCACCAACGTTAAAATTTTATCTGCTTCACTTAATTATTAAAATGTCACTTTCGTTACATCTTATCAGACTAAAAAAATTATTTATTTTGTTTAACTTTTTTTAGGAGTGTCACAATCTACCTTCCTTAAAAGATGCTTCGTCCCGAAGCATAAGTCAAGAAAATATCCACCATGCAATTAGTAGATGTCACATGCTAGTTAATAATAAATTCTTTTTAAACATAGAAGTGTCACATTCTATCCTCCTTGAAACACATAATCAAAATTTCTTAGAACACTCCTGCGGTATATTCCACAAAATCAAACACGTAGGAGCAAATAAGCCCAAACGATGTCATAGGTTTCGTCTCACTAGTTTTAAGTCTTTCCTAGTCACGTATATAGGAATATAACACAATATACCTATTTTAAACCATTTTGAAGTTCAAAAAAAAATCTCACAATCTCATCACCATCCTATACGTTCTTACTTATCCCCTAGTAATTTAATTTCCTTGTATTTTTAGAAAACCTTTCACAAAAGCCACTGGAAAAATATATAGTTAGTTTTAGAAAATCACTGAAAATATTAGAAAACCGTTTTGAAAACCATAGTCACTTAAAAGAAATTTTTATTGAAAACTCCAAATTTAAAAACCGTAGGCGCTTTGATACCAATTTGTAACACCCCCAAATTTCTCACCCAAAAAAATACATTTAAATAATGATTTATTTGAAAACGTCAGAGTTGTGCAACGGAAATTCAAAGGGAAATAAGGGGTGTTACCGCCACACTCTGTTCTCACTTAACCGAATGCACAGGCTATCCACCACCAATACAATTTTATAATGTGAATAAAATAAATTTCCCATAATTAATTACTCAACTATAAATTTTTAAAATAAGGCTAATATGAATTACTCGATCAACTTTATTCTATGTGTTCTAGGGGAAGCTCTCGAAATCAACATCACCAAGTCTCCACCTGTACAAAATCAAGTACAGAAAGAAAACACACAGAAAACAAAAATTAGCTTGAAATGCTAAGTAAGGGCCTACTCAACCTCGTAAAATAATCAGGTTTGATATATATATATAATTTGTCAAAATACATTTCAAAACCCTATTTTTTTAGGGCATGTCGTAACTTTCTCAAAATACTTTACAATTCCTCAAATGCAAGTAAAATAGTTGATCTCATAAATACACACACAAATGTAGGGTTCATAAAAAATATTTCATCTCATATATAGCGCATATCACACAGATGAAAGTAAAATAATGTCTTAATATCTCATAATTCTCTAAAATACTTTCTCAACACTGTGTACTTTCCAACATACTAAATACAAAGTACTAATTTAAGAAGAGTATTCATAGCTTAAAATAATGTTTGTAAACTTGGAATAGTTCACATGGTAGGAGTAAAGTATTACCTCCGAAAATAATTAGCCTCCAAAATAACTTTTGAAATTCCATCACACATCTCATATTTGTAAATACAATGTTCAAATCCAATCCAAATGGAGTATAAGCTTTACCAAAATATTATCATTCAAAAATCCATATCCGCCAATATATTTCCAAATTAATGCCAACCATATATTTTCCAAAACCAATATCCAAAAGTGCTTGTACTTTTTGGAAATAAGTATCGTTCTCCAAATAGTAAGATTTCTTTAACAACTCTTATAAGTACTATAAGGAATAATTCTCCACAATAGACTCAATGGTAATTAAAAATATTTAATGCCCCATAGTATATATATTTATAGAATATTATCCTCCCATATTTCCAAAATAGTTTAAGGTCCCAAAATAATTCCTCCAACAGATATTTCCTTTCCCAATTCCACCAATAGTAATGCTTTAGATTTCTTTTAAGAGTGGGCGAAACTCAAGATTCCTCGAGTCCAATGAGTCGTTGTTATCTACGACTCATCCCAGAATTCCGGCTCCCACCGACCACCAATTGGAAGATGAATTTCTACCTTAAGCGTGCACACCCTCTAAAAGGGATTCCAATCCCTCCAAGTAGTAAGAAACCCAAGTTGAGCGTGAAGCGCCTGACTGAAGAGAGAAGCGGGAGCTCCTGGAACTTTTCCGACGTAGGAGCACATATAGGTTCTGCAGATTCTTAGCAGGCGGTGTGTTTTTGCTCGTTTTCTTGGTGGTTCTTCGTCGAATCGCTCCTCTTATTACATTTCCGACCTTGTATTTGGGAGTCGAGGGGTTTATTTTGGCCGAACACTGAGAATCCGCATAGATTAGGGCTCTACTGTTCACTAGGGAGGCGTGGACTGACCGGATTCAGCTGCGGAACTTCCGTCTCCTTGGTTGAAATCTGCTCTCGATCCTCCTCCGAGCTTAGATTCGTGAGGGAACGAACTCGGTTTTTTATTTCTTCTGTCAAAAAGCCCAACCGTGTTTTTGGCCTTATTTTCGCAGGGGAATGACCTTGGGTTTTGATTTTTGTGTGCAGGGGAACGACCTGGGGATTTTGGTTGTCGTTTCGAAGAAGAACGACTTGCTCTGTGTTCTGTTCTATTGTTGGCTTCCTGGGCTCGCCTGGGATACGCTTTGTAAGGAATAAATGTAATTAGATTTTGATGATGCTAGGTTGATTAGAATTTGAAAGTGCCCCTATAGAAATTTTGTATTAGAATTTGTCTTTGTATGTACTAGAATAGTCGACATGCCAGAAACCCTCTTGATCTTCCTTATCAGAACTTCTACCAGAGTTGCTCCCAGAGTTGCTCTCCAGAGAAGCTATCAGAGTTGGATACCAGAGTTGGCATCAGAAGCTGCCATCTGAGTTCTGATCACAAAACCTCATCAGACCTGCTCAGCAGAACTCGAAGGCACTTACCAACGGTCGTTAAACTAACGGGAAATCCTCTAACGGCTAGGAACCTTTAGACGGGAACATGGTACTGTACACGCATTAAATGCTCAATTAATGATGTACGTACGAAGATATATTTAAAGCTGATGATTGACCATGCGAGTATCTTCGCGCCCCCAAAATAGCAAGTCGAAGGTCCAACCGGTCAAGTCAACAGTACAAACATTTAATGAAGCTGTCTTCTACACTCCAACGGGAAGACTGCTCCCAGTATATAAGATACACTCTGAAGAACTACTAGGATAACTTTGATATAACTTTTGCTACACGAACTTGCTCAGATTATTCACTCAGAACTAAATACCTTCAAGCTTTCTTGAGATCAAAGACTCGCTTACCTCAACAAGAAAAGCTCAAGTTGGAAGATATACTTTCTTATCCTTCATCCAACTAACAAGTAGCAAAGTTCCTCAGTTCTTCAACACTTCGATAACTTCATCTACACATCCTCTGTGAAGAAGCAACGTTGGAGAAAACTGATCTTGAATCAAACACTTCTTGAAAAAGAAGGGGCGTCTCAAACTAACTGGAGTAAGTGAAGTGGTGATACTTCCAAGAGACTCAGTGAAACGAGACCAACCATCAGGAAGCAGGACTGCATCCCGGGTGGCAACTAGGCTTGAAGAAGACGTGGAGAGCTTCTTAAGTTCTAGGGACTAAGGCATTGTAAACTGTTGTTTTTGCAAGCTTAGTGGAACAGTGGACTAGAGGAACAAGTTGTTCCTTGAACCACTATAAAAATCCCCGGTGTCATTTACTTTACTCATTTTATTTCTGCACTTAAGATCTTTACTGATTAACTCGAAAGGTTGGACTCTGTGTTCAGCAGATCTTCCTCAAGAGTTTTCAGAAAGGCATTTGCCTTAGTGTTTTCTGAGGCTACCCGGACAGAAACCAATCCGCTGCCAGGTCCAAATCTGCCATCAGAACTTGACCTTCTCTGTCACCAGAATTCGACCATCTCTGATAAGTCAGTTGTGACTTAGAGAAAAGTTTAAATTCCTGAACAGTCTATTCACCCCCCCCGCCATCTAGACTGTTCCCATTACAAACGGGACCAACAAGTGGTATCAGAGCCTCCTCATTCTTGTAATCTTTTAGGTTACTTGCTGAACAAGAGATCCACTTGTTCTTAGCCTCTTTAATCTCATATTATGGATAACACTCTTTCAAAGAATCTTATGTTCTCTG